CACCCATCCAGAAGGCTACCTTGTGAGACTTGCATTGTGTGTGCGCTGAGGTTGTGCACAACCTGGATATGTCAATGGAGATTGTATATAATACTGATCTTAGTGCAGTACCTGTTAAAGGTATTCCATAAATTATGATTATGTTTAGTAATGATTTATTATCAGAGTTAAGATTCTCTACTCTATTTGTGCAGGGGGGATCTACTTTTGCCTTTTTTCAATTTGCTCTTGACTGATCATCTAGCTTGTCAAAAAACTCCACAGACGAAAGATGAAGCCCTGTATTTAAATCTCCTCCCATCGGTAAAATAAGAGTCTATGGGGGTTCCTGGGTGACCTAACAGATATAAAACAGGCTGAATTAATTGTTAGTAACCACTTTTTAAAAATTATATATACAATGAATAATTCTTTCCAGCTGCTAAGTTTGAAAAGAAAATAGTAAAATGAGTTAACAAAAACAAAAAACTCAGCCTTTCCCAAGTCCAGAAAATTTGATGGGAAATAAATGCATTCACCAGACTCATTTTGTGTAAGGAATATTTTCAGTGTTCTGGCTTTACTTAGTTATTTCCTCATTTCAGAGTTAACCCACACAAATAAAGGAAGATGACAGTGCCAGGAAACACACATCCATCCCCCTTTCCTATGAGTATGAAGCTGCCAGAGTGCTGACAAAAGTTGAAAGGTCAGCAGTCATCTGTGGCAGATGTGCTTCATTATGATAAACACTTGGATGCTGAAAATGGTTCTGTTCACAGATAGTTTATAATTTAGGTGAGAAATACAAATGTGAGGAAGCTTCACTGATGGGAATCTTATTTCATGTTTGAGCGCAATTAACCAGCTGATAAACAGGCTTTTGTTTTCCATATGAATGGACAATGTCCATTCATTTGGGACACTATCTTGTCAAATGGGCAACAATAACAATAAAGTTTATGTATATTGGCTCTCTTCTGCTCTAAAACCTGTAGTAACCTCCTGCGATAGAATCAAGAACCTCAACTGAGCGTGCAAAATAATTATCTTCCAGAATCCACCTGATGGTGATGCTATGGAAGATTATCTTGTTTTGAACTGGAAATAGGACTAAAAATCTCTTTTAATTTCAATAACTCAATTTTAGTATAATCAGAACATGCTTGTAAGCCCTAGTATTCGATATTCCACAAGTTTATGTGGCTTAATCTTGAGGATGGTATACGTTATCAGATTTCAAAAAATAATCTAAATTTTAAAAGCATATGACAATTTCTTATTATCTGGACTATCTTGCAGCCATTTTCTAAGCCCTTACTGATAAAATGCCGAGGACTTTTCATTGCCACTTAATGTTTTACCACAAACTATAAATTTTGCACCTGACTTTTTTTCTCCTCACCCACACATTTTCCAGTGTGCCATGTTCATCTCTCTCTCTCTCTCTCTCTTTTTTTTTTTCCCCTAAATAATAAGATCATCTGTTCCTGTTTTGGCTTCATAAATGGAGATGACACATGACTGTATTGGGGGTTTTTTGCTCACAGTGATGATTGAAAAGAAAAGCCACCTGTATCTTCTTGCTTAGTTTCCCTTGAGAAGAATGAGCAAAGTGAGCTGTGTAGCCTAGTAACCATGGAACATGGTTCCTGTATAATGTTCACAACTTTGGCAAGGTAATTATTATTGCTATGCAACTTCTGGTAAAATCTGTGAAAGAAAGGAAATTATATTATTAGCTTTCACATGTTGACCCAGATATGACTGGATCAGTTTAAGAAGGCAAATCAGTGTTGATTTTCATTTATCCCCTCAATAAATATTTATTGAGTACTACTATGTCCTATTTACTTGAGGATAGAATTATGAATAATGTATGGCTTCAGTTCCTAAGAACTTAATAACCTAGCATGTTTGATTGTACTGGTAGTAGCAGTGGTAGATACTGGTGATGACTGGTGATGATTTTGGTTTGTATTGGGAAAGAACTGTTGGGAAGCAGATATATCACCTGGACTTGTACATCTATCCCCTGGGAAATCCACACTAATTTAACTTTTTTACCTGCTACCTTTATTACCACAGAATTGTTTAAATGTGATATTTCTTTTTTTTTTTAATGAAAGCTTATTTATTTATTTGTTTGTCTATTTATTTATTTATTTATTTTTGGCTGTGTTGGGTCTTCGTTTCTGTGCGAGGGCTTTTCTCTAGTTGCGGCGAGCGGGGGCCACTCTTCATCGCGGTGCGCGGGCCTCTCACTATCGCGGCCTCTCGTTGCAGAGCACAGGCTCCAGACGCGCAGGCTCAGTAGTTGTGGCTCACAGGCTTAGTTGCTCTGCGGCATGTGGGATCTTCCTGGACCAGGGCTCGAACCCGTGTCCCCTGCATTGGCAGGCAGATTCTCAACCACTGCGCCACCAGGGAAGCCCTAAATGTGATATTTCTTAATTACTGATGCCTATCACTCTTAAATCTCATTTATATTTTAATGAGCATCAAGGTTCTCAAAAAGTTTCAAAGGGTAGACATCCAACGGTGGGATCAAACTTTAATCAAATATAAGAAACTTTTCTCAGTTTCCTTCTCTGTCTGGGAAAGTGCTTCATGCTCTATAAGAAATATGCTCATTGACATAAAGGATATAATTTTCCTGTGGAGATGAGACATGTATATATATGTATCTAAATAATATACAGTATACATATGTACGCACAGTGCTCTTGCAGATTCGTATACTTGTACACATACATATAATGTGGTATAGACCATGTATAAAAAAATGGTACTTCATTCATTCTAGGTAACAGGTCACTGTAGGTTGAGGGTTAGTCATAGAGAAAGGTCATTATTAACTTTGACATAAAATGATGTACTAAACTTATTTTAGTGAAAAGAAAGAAGACATGTATTTTCTCATAATGAAAATGAAAAAAGGGAAGAGAAACAATATTGAGGACTCAATGTGGTGAGTAATTTCAGTAAATGGAATATCCACCCGGCCCTTTCACTCTGGCCGAAGAATTGGTGTACAGCACTGTTTTCTTTAGGTTGAAATCTTAATGATGAAGAACAACTTACTATGAATTTTTTTCCAGTAACAGTTACCTTTACAGTATTAATGACTCTTGACTTCTCTTGTTTAACAGTTTTATTGTTTACCTGTTAACTGTATTTGGTAACTAGCTATTATGAACCGAGAAGTATTTGTTGACTTTTATGTGACCAGCCCTGGGCCAGGTTTTAGAGAGCAGAGCAAAAATGCAAGACAAGATCCTTTCCTGCAAGGGTATTCTGATATTATTGGGTGGCCTACTCTCTGGCAATACACTTGAACATGCAATTACTGGTAATATGGAAAGGGACATGTGTTGCTGCTATAGGAAGACAGGGTTTGTATCTAAGGGCTTTTCAGAAACTTGAGGAAAACACAATACCAGCAAGCAGGAACCCTGCTTCTGGCCTGTATCTTAGGGAGCTCTGCACTTTGGAACGCCTTCCACTAAATTTTTAAAGATTCCTTCTGGGGGCTAGAACCTACAGGGTCCAAGAGGGCCATCCAGGTCAAGCACCTGAGTTCAGACCAAAGCATTTCTTTCACGGGGTCACATGAGATTAAGCTTCCAGAATAGTGCTGACATGTTGATTTCAGGTGAATCTCACTCACTTTGAACACAGGTGGAGATTAGGGCCCTAGGCTACTGATAGTCTGCCTTTAACCCTTGGGCCACAGGGACAGTTCTCAGCTCTCTGTGTCCAGGTCATATGGCTTCTCTGATCTTTACTTTGTGCCCATCCCCACCCCACCCCTGCCCCCAGTTGTAACCTAGGACAGTTTCCCTACTCCTTCCACAGGCTTTGCACTGCATGTCAGGCAGATCTCTGGCAAAGGCTGTGCCTGTCTCCTTGGAGGGCTTTCCAGGATGTTGCTCCTTGATGCCCATCAGCCCTTCTTTTCTTTTTTCTTTTTTTGTGCGCCTCTCACTGTCGTGGGCTCTCCCGTTGCAGAGCACAGGCTCCGGACGCGCAGGCTCAGTGGCCATGGCTCACGGGCCCAGCCGCTCCGCAGCACGTGGGATCTTCCCGGACCGGGACACGAAACCGCGTCCCCTGCATCGGCAGGCGGACCCTCAACCACTGCGCCACCAGGGAAGCCCGCATCAGCCCTTCTGATCAAGTTTTCTCTTGATCAGATTGATGTGGAGGCATACTCTCCTGGGTAGTCTTAAGCCTTGCTGAAAATGGATGGACATTCCTTGTGTGAATAGGACTGTTCTTCTTGCTCAGCTCACGGGACCCTCAGCAATCTTCCTCACTGGTGGCCATATGTGGTCAACATTGAAAGGTGTTAAATTCTAGGAATGCAGTGACTTTAGCTAAAGATTTCAAGGGAAGACATATTAAGAAGATATGTTATTCTATGTTTATAAAATTCTGTTTGATAAAATTGAAATAACAGAAAATAATAACTCACACTATCCTGCATACTTTGGGTAAGATTTGCATTTATTTGTAGTTCTCATCAGTGAAGCAGTTATTACCTTTGATGGCACAATGAAGCCATTGGGTGGAGCAGCGTCATGAGTAATGATGTAACTAAATAAATGGTATTAGGGAACTGGAGTAGCAAGAAGATCTATATTATTTCAATACAAATGCATTCTGAAGAGCTATGGCTTTATGAATCGTAATGACACTGCTGTCTTTTTCATGTATTGTGAGGTATGACATTAGTTAGGAAATGACACATTAGACAATAAATAACATCAAGAGATTGTTCTTGAACCTGAACAGGAAGAGAGAGAGCCTGGATACTAAGAAGAATCGTCATGTGCACTGATTATACAATAGACAAATATGTAACTACTTCTTCTCTACCCATTGTTCTAAGTCTTCATTTCTACCTCTTATGGGCCCATGGATTTTGTAATATATTTCAAATGTAATTATTTATAGAGATATAATTCAGACATTCTAAATTGATCACCCACTGGGTGCTACATGCTACATATTTTATTTATTTTTTAGTTCACATAAAGTTTAATAGTCAACTTAATGAAAAATATCAAAATTTTTGAATTAGTGTATGACAGAAGAAATTTAACTTTGTTGCAAATAATACAGTATTTGGTGTTTCCATTCTGGACAAGCTATGCTGCAGAAATAGCAATGGCATTGAACCTCCGTTCATCAGGGTCACATTCCATAAACTTCTTGAAAACTTCTGTGGCATCCTCTAATAAAGTTTCATCACTAGTTTCCCCATGGTTAATTGGAAATGGTTTCCATCCATCTAAGTCATTGAGATGCCCATCTACATGAACTGATGCAATAAAATGAAGATCTACTTTTTCATCTATATTTTGTGCCTCAGTCTGACCTTCATGGTCACTGGTCTCATGAGTAACTCGAATGGAGTCATAGTTCCCCAGGTATATGGCTCGTTCTTCAGGGCTCAGTGATGCAGACTCCTCCAGGAATTTTTTCAAGGTCGATCCAGATTCAAAGTGCATCTTGTCTTTATTGTTGGCAATAGCATGGATCAGTCCAGTTGTTCCACAGGCCCTGCTGATCGTTCGCCTCATGAAATATACTGATGATGTAATATGTTGTCCCTGAGATTTTATTTTTTCCTCTTCTTCTGTTCTGAATACTTCATACTTTTCTGTAATAGGGAAGAGAAGCAACACTGCACACACAGGTCTTGGTACCATGCTAAGGAGTTCAGCATCCATTCCATATACATCAACAAACTGCCAGTTAGGATGTAGACCTAATTGTTTGAGAAACTGGTTGGTGACCTCGGGGTTGGCCTCCAGCTGCAGCCAGCGCTGACCCTCCATGGCCGCTCCTCCTGGCCCCTCTCCAGCTCTCTAGACATATTTTAAATGTTCAAATGAATGAAGTACATGCATTGATCTTGTTCCTGTGCCAGCATCCGCTATAGAAAGTGCAACATTTTTTGAGTAATTGTCCCATTATTACCTTAACTAATACTTAATTTTACTGCAAGTGTTAGATTTTAAATTTTATGTGTCCTAAATACTTTAAGAGAGTCTTTTCCCCCAGATTATTTAGACACAGTTAAAATCCCACCACAAGGAGAAATCATAGTCTACAGTATTATTATCTAATGGATTCAAATACTATATGTTTTCTGATCCTGGCTTAATTGTCAATGAATGAACACTATGATAATGCCAATAAACTGAAAACTTAGTAGTAATAACTCTAAATTTAAGATCAATTTCTTATTATAATTAATTTTTCAATTTGCTTATGAAATTTTTAAAAGTTTCCTTGTTTTCTTTCACTTCCCTTTTAAAAAAAACTTTTCTTTTTTGAAAGAAAACATAAGAAATTGTGATGATTTCAGTTGGGTAAATTTCATGTCTTAATGGTAAATTAAATTATTTAAAATAAAACCATGGATAGAGTAAGTGGTTTAGTCTAGTGTTTCTTCCATAATAATGAAAAGAATCTTTTTTAGGTACCCAGCTGCCCCACTGACTATTTATAATTTTTAAGGAACCACTTTATACATTTTAATTTTGGTGTCATAGGCCACATAAAGATGGATAGACCCTTGTAAAGTGACCAAGAAGAATTCTCTGATCATACTTGATGCTTGTAGTCATCAAAGAGTGTTTGCTTTCAAAGGAATTATTATACTTCCAGCTTGCTTGCCTTGGGGAATGTCAATTAAATCCAAATTATTTAATGACAGAGATTTTGCCATTTTTAGAGACAGGGTAAGTGAACTAGAAATGACAAAAATCAAATGAGAAATGAAAAAATACATTTTGATGTTTACCTGTAAATTGCTTATCTTTCAATTAAGCATTGGTTTACCCTTGCCAAATGTCCCCATTTGCAGATGCCTGTTAAAAAATAAGCTGTTTTCATTTCCTGCTAGTACACAATTTAGCTTCTTTTAATGCATGCTTGTGCTCAGGGTTTTCTGAAGAGCCTTGTGTTATCTCTGTATCTAGTCCTTATAAAGAATCACTTTCAGCATGTGTGGCCTGGTTCCTAACAGTCTATCGATTCATTGAATTTCCTGAATTTCAGAAAGACCCCCATTGATTCTTTATGCTGCCCGGCAGAGCAATTCTTAATTTTTGTCTGATTCTTTCCAACATCAGTCTTAAGAAGAAAAGGTTTTTCTTACAACGCCTTGAAGGGTTTACTGAATCATGCATCACCAAGAACATTTTAAAGCATTATTTTGTCTGTTATTTAAAGTGGAAAATGCTGTCCCTTAAGACACTGGCACTCTGCCATTTGCCTCCAGAATATTTCATGGTTCACTGTCAGGACTGCTGCTTTTTCTCCAAGAACATATGGGCCATTTTGGAGAAGTTTTCTGTAACATTCAGATGCTGAACATATTATCTGTGTACACTTGGTCTCCAGCAAATAATGTTTCTGGAATTTTAATACCTAATGGATTCTTTGGAACTTACTGAAAAGTCTATTAAACATGGTAACACCAAAGGAGGGTTGTGAGTTGGAGGTAGAAGGGACTAAATATAACTGATGCAGAGTTTAGCATCATTAGAATGTATTCCTGTGATTTTATTATTTTTCATTGGAGTAGTTCTCTTCTTCTTCTCCTCCCTCTTTTTTCTCTCCACCTCCTCCTTTTCCTTCTTCTTAGTGATTTCAAATAGTCACTGCAAATTATTTTAAATGGGGGAGAATCTTCCTATACTCTGTGGTATTGATACATAAATCATTGGAATGTGGTAGGGGTTAGCACACACTTGTGGATGATTGTGTCATTAAAACTGCATCCAATCAATCTGGGAATACCTCACCTGCATTGTTCTGTAAATACCTTTCTCACTAAAACACCTGTTTGGTTTGATGGTGTATATTTTTAGTCAAAGGAATCAAGCAGAACACATTTAAAACAAACAATTAAAATTAAAGTGTGACTACATTTCTGGATAGAAGAGCTAATTGCAACTCCAATAAAGAATAGCTTCCCCCCTTGCACAATATAATGTACTGATGACCAGAACTGGGCAGATTCTAGTGGAAAGACACTCATTCCTTATATTACTGTTCTACCAGATTGTCTCTTTGCTGGTCATTTGGTGAGCAACTCCTTGATTTGCTAAGTTATGGAGCTAGGTGGCTCTTAAATGAGTAATAATCTGCAAATGGTTCTATGATGATTAAGGAAGAATGGAAGAGTACAAGGAAATAAAACAAGAAAATAATAATCATGTTTTAAATCTTGAAATCACTAGTGACTCCATAGTCAGGGACCTCTGCGTAGAAAGTTTTTTGCCCAAGCAAACCTGAGGTCTTTCCAGATCCTGAGGAGTTGAGGAGTTGGAGAGGACAGAGGTGATGATGGTCAGAAAAAGATAAAAACAGAAAATAAAAATACATGACAGAATCTCTGTGTCATCACAGAAGGGATGAAATCAGGGATAGATTTTAGAGACTGTACCCTTTGGGGAAATCCAAAGTTAAGTATGGCCACGTGTCTTAGCACTTCAGTTATTTCATCTCCTTTACGTTTCAGATATGGATGTGATCTGGTTGTCATCTCACTCTTATTCTATGTGGCATTTTGCCATTTGGCCATGACAACAACCAGTGTGAGAATAAGAAGTCATGGCCTTCTCTGGACTCACTGTGTGGTTAGTGGCATCCACTTGCTCCCTGAAGATTTCTTTAAAGGACAGGGAAAAGTGAAGCTTGGGAAGGATCCTGATAGGCAACAGGAGAGGAGGAGGAAAACTAAGATAGATTCCTTCACTCCCATGGCCATGTAGCAGACAGGAGAGACAGTGGAAATGATTTGTTCGCCCTCACCTTCTAGAGGCAAAGTCAAGAGAAAAAAAATCCACACTTGTTGGGAAAGGTTCAAAGGTTCAATTAAACAAACATAGTTGTTTAATTGTCTGCCTGACGGTAGGTTAGTATATTTCACTTACCCATAAACCACAATGTAATTATTTGCATATGACTCACATTATATTAAAATAGTATTTGTTTTTCAGATTAGGGTGTTCTCATTAAAATAAGGTGAACAAAAGTATAAATGTATCTTTACGAAATCCCCAAATAGATACATCCTAAAAAGGAAATTTGGAGGAGAGTGATACACTACTGTATCTTTTAGTACATCTACAGTTATCCACCCCCAAGCATCACCCTCCCAGTCCTGATTTCTCTGAGCCACTTGATGCTTTCATTTTTACTTACCCTGAAACATACAACTTGGAGTTAGAACTTAGTACAACACATGATAGTGTTTCACTAGAATGTTTACCACATGGAGACAATCATTTAAATATTTCTATTCTGGAGACACACCTTTGATTTCTGTGTTTGAATATGTGTTATGAGAAACATGTTCCGTGTTTATTCAAAGATTCCCAAATCCTGGCGTGTATTATTTAGTAGAACTGGACCAATTTTAAATCCTACTACCCCAGGAAGCCCAAGGTATTCAGAAGATCTACACACCTATAATGTCCACACATATTGGCGCCCACACACGCAGAGGCAGAAGATTCTCAAATTGTGTATTTTAAGAGAGACAGTATAGAGGAGTGGGGAGGGCTGCATACGATGCTGTATTCAAGTCAGTAAAAGCGTATCATTACCTTAGAGTTTCTCAAAGGGAGTTTAGATTCCAAAAATCCTATGAACACTTTGATAGAGTGAAGTCTCACCTGTGACATGATTCTTTGGTCTTTCCTACGTTTTTGCCCTTCATGTTCAAAAGTGGTGCTTCGGATGGTGTCAGTGTATTTGTCAGATCTCCATCCATCAATAGGCCTCCTTCTTGGCTTGTTTACACGAGCCCTGACTTGCAGGGAACATGGGCAGCCGAAGAACACAGGGAAGAGGGCCATGATAACAGCAGGGAGAGAATGCCACTGTGCCTTCTCTCATACCCAGGATGTATGCCCTCTGTCCTCACACGGAGAGTCATGAAATGAGGAAAATGATATTCATGGCATCTTTTATAAGACATTAAGTCAATAAAGTCTTTTAAAAATTCAGTAACTTGTAAATCTTTATTCTTAAGATTATATATATATATACATATCTCTTAAGATTATATATATGTATAAATGATGAATATTGTTTTTGTCTCTAGTGGATATAGGCATTTGATCCTAGACAGTCACCAACATTTCTTTTTACGTAGTTTATGATGACAGTCACTTGTTTTTCCACCTTCACTAGAAAGACATAACTCATGCTCCTCCATTTAACTGGGACTTATGGAAGAAATGGTGAACCCCACCCTGACCCCAGGGTTGAGACTCTTTCTTTCTGTGACATGCACAATCCCTGTGATGCTAGACCATAGGAGAGCATGACAGGTAGTGTATCACCAAGAAGTTCGTTGTCGTATGCATTGTGAAAATGTCATGAGCTCTAGACCATTGGCAAGAAATTAACAAAGACCAACTGTATAGGTTGCTTGTTACTGTCCTTTGATACCACCAATAGAATAATTCTTCTGTCTTCAAGTTTTGTCAGTCTTGTTGCTCTAGTTAACAATTTAATAGGGCCCTATGTACTTTGGTATGAATACTGACGATGTCAAAGCCACGATTTATGCTAATACAGCAACTTCCCACAGGAACCGCTAATCTAAAGGTTATGTAGTAAATCTTAGTTGGATTGAAATGTATAGTCCAAATGCCATAGTACACAAACACCATCTTTTTTATCCACTTATCTCCATCATACTATTACTTGTTAGCTACTAAAGGAGAAAATTTTGATTGTGTTTAATTGGTGGCAATTAATAATATTAGTTCCATCTTCAGTATTCCATAAGGCATATGATTTCTCTACATCCACTCAAATATTTCAA